GCGCTGCACGCTTCGGGCCACGCCCCCCACTCTCGGCGATCCACGCCCCCCGCTCGCAGCGCCGCTCTCGCCGGTCCACGCCCCCCGCTCGCAGTGCCGCTCGTTTAAAAAAAGTCAAACCAGCTTTGTCCGTAGCAGGGCTAAAACAGTGAAAAAACTACTTGCCTGGCACCCGGAACTACATGTCCCGGGCATCGGGCGATACGAATTCCACACCCCTGAGGTATCATTAATACCAAGGACACTGACAGTAATAAATAAATAAAACAAAATTCCCCACTCCAGTAATAACAGTGTTATTGCTCTGTGCGCCCTTCTTAAAGTGGTGTTACACTGTCAAACTTGTTTTCAATAATTACCCCAGTTAAAACAAATATAAAAGTATGTTTTTATTTTTTGGTCCAATCACTTACAGTCATCATGTTTCCAAACAGTTGGCTTCAACTTCCTCAGCTCTTCTTCCCTGAACTACCTTCCTGTCCAGTACAAGATAACAAAGGACAGCCCACAAGGTGGCTCAATGGGACCCTGCAAAAGAAAGCAGCCTCCCTAAAATATCAGCCAGTGCTCAGGGGACTAGATGATTCTGCAGGAAACTAAAAACTTTTAAACATCAAAGAGCAGCATCCATTGAAAGTGATTCAATCAGAAAAAAAGCTTAGAACGTGTTGACTTTAAAAGAGAACTATGGGCTACACCTTTTTTTTTTTAGCTTACTAATGATACACGAGTACATTTTGCAGTGCACTTCTGTAATCAAAAATATATAAGCTAGCATTTCAATATAATATATCGTGGGCGGGACTAAACTCCATACTGATAAGCAATCCCAACAATATTGTTGGGATCTTCCTCATGCTTCTCTCCTATTGGGTGACAGTGGCTTGTAGGAGCTGTGTATTCATGAATACCCGTGCAGGCGCAGCAGCTCAGTCCCTGGATCTCCATTCCTGCCTCCCTTCCATGCTGCTGTCCTGGGACATGCACATAGCTAATAACACAGGCGAACCAGCTCCACCCCCGCCTCTCCTCCATGCTGCTGTCTCAGCACATAAACATAGCAAATAAAACAGACACACCAGCTCCACACCCACCTCCCCTCCATGCTGCTGTCTCCATTTCTTTTCCATGCTTCATCAGGAATAAGACAAAGAAGACCTGCAGCAGTGCTTCAGTAACTGGACAAGGTAAGATTGGTTACTGAAGCACTGCTGCACATCTTCTCTCTGGCTCATCAGGAATAACACAAAGGATAAGAGATGGAGACAGCAGCATGGAGGGGAGGTGGGATGGAGCTGGTGCCCCTATGTTATTTGCTATGTTTATGTTCAGAGACAGCAGCGTGCAGGGGAGATGGGGACAGAGCTGCTGCTCCTGCACAGGTATTCATGAACGCACAGCAGCTCCTACAAGCCACTGTCACTCAATAGAAAGGACAAAAGAGTGAGGAGGATCCCAACAACATTGTCGGGATCGCTTCTCAACAGAGCTTAGCCCCACCCACGGTAGATTATGCTGAAATGCGACTTTATGGTGGATTTTTGATTACAGGAGTACACTGCAAAATGTACTCCTGTATTTTTAGGAAAATAAAAATGCTAAAAAAATAAAGTGCACCCCATTGTTCTATTTTGAGGGACACAGGTCCTGACCCTCTTTGTTTTTGGCTCTTATCTACTGCTTGCTCACAAAACTAAGGCATGGGGCTATATATATATATTATTATTTTTTGCCAGTGTCCTAACCATCTGTAGGTGGCAGTATAACCCAACTTTTTCACAATTTCTGTGTCTCTCAGTAAACTAGAATAAAAAAATGAAATGGTAAGTGAAAAGTCTGTCGGGAGTTTTTTCAGGTCAGAGTACCACCTCCACCTGTCCCCCGTCTCAATCTTGCAAAGCAGATAGGGAAAGAGTTTCAGGGAAGGAAAGGCATAGATCAGTGTTTACTGATCCCACTGAGCTACCAGAGAATTAACTGGTTCTGCTAATGGACCCTGTACCTGCAGACAAACCTGTCCAGTTTGTTGTTAAAACTTTTGCTGAACCACATCCAGCATCCTCAACCTGTGGCATAGGTCCTGGAACACCTCTAGGTGTAGAGACATTCCTCTGGGTCGAAGCACCACTGAGAAAGTCTGCCTGCTAACTGTCCATTACTTGTAGATAAATAGTGGACAAGGCTGGGACGTAAAAGGTACGCCCAGGAGAAGAAAAAAAAAAAAACTACCTCTCTTGCCACAACAAAAACTTCTGGCCCCTCTCTGATGGTTGATGTGCACCACTGGCGGCAGCAGCAGCAATGGGAAGGTGTTTCCTCAATGCTGAATGGAGGTAAAGAGATTGTGAGCATGAAACTCCAGCCAGCAGCTGATGTCAGGGCACAGTCCCTCAGCGATAACCCCTTACACAGTGAGAGCAAGTGAGACATTTGATATGGCGCCTTGGACAAAGTATTTCTTAAAATTTTAGCCCAAGCACTTATTTATCATGTTTCCAAACAGTTGGCTCCAAGTCTCTCAGCTTGTGTTCCACACAAGACACACACACACACACAGGTTACTAGTATATAGTAGTGTGGCGCCATAGGATCCTGCAAGAGAAAGGAGCCACCCTAAAACAGGATATCAGGGCCAGTGCTCAGGGGAGCAGCTGATTCTGCAGGAAACTAAAACTTTCCAACATCAAGAAGCAGCATCCATTGTAAGGGATTTCATCGGGATAAAAAAAACATTTGGACTTTAACCACTTGCTGTCCGCCCACTGTAAATACACAGGTGGATGCCTCCCAGTGGTGAATAAATACCACCAAAAGAAAGCTCTATGTGTCCCTAAAAAATGGAATACAATTAATTTCAGTACAGCATTGCATGATGGAGTAAATGTCAAAGTACTGCAGTGCTGAACACTGAAAAATGACCTGGACAGGAAGGGGGTTTAACCCTGTGGACTTAAAGTGGTTAAAGGAGAACTATGGGGTTAAAAGGCTTTTCCCCATAGTTCTCCTTAGGGTAACGGGAGGACACAAACTAGCATCCTCCCGTCACCCTAAGCTCAGTATACCGCGAGCTACCGCTCGCGATATACTGAGAAGCCGCAGCTGAAGCGGATCCCGACAATAATGTCTGGATTCGCCCAGCTGCGTGAGTGACAGCGCGCTCTGCTGATCGAGAAGTGAGCGAACACCAGTATGTGTTCGCTCACCTCTCGATCTACTGAGCCAACCTGTGACAGTCATTGTCACAGGTAGGCTGGAACTATGAGGTGAGTGAAAAACACTCACCTCATAGTTCTTTAATATCACTTTAAAGCTTAAAAGTGACATTAAACCCTCTGATTTTTTTAACATAAAACAATGCTGTAATGTGTGCCTTACTGTAATCCATGGTTGTTTCCCTTCTCTTTGCTGCTCTTCCTTTTAAATCCGTATCTCTTCTCATGCTGGGCAGAACTTCTGTTTTGCTGCAGACTGCCTTGTCTCTGGAATGGATATATGGTGTCTGTGTGACGGTTCACAACCTGAGCCAGCACTACAGGAAGAGGCACTCAGCTGCAAAGGGAAGTTCTCCAAGCATGAGAAGAGATAAGGATTTAAAAAGGAAGAGCAGCAAAAAAAAGGGAAACTACCATGGATTACAGTAAGGCACACATTACAGTATTGTTTTATGTTAAGGGTTTAATGTCACTTTAATTTATAATTGGAGTTTGATATGCTTTTAGCTCATATATCCATCTACTCTGCTATCACAATAAGACTCTGTTCCAATCCCCTCCTCTTGCACAAAAACATTAACTTTATCCAACACAGTAAATTTGAAGCCTGTATTGTCCCATCATGTTGAAATAAGTGTCTTGCCACCAATAGGATGCCATATTATTAGAACATTAGCTGCTTGCTGTAATTTTTTTTAAATAATAAAATAACACGTTAAACAAAGTACTACGGCCCTGAGACATTATAAGTACTACGGCCCTGAGACATTATATAAAACACACATACACAGATTCAAAAGTTTAATATGCTTACAAAAATAAGAAATTGTCTAATAAAATGAACAAACAAAAGTTACAGAATACAGATCATTGTGTAGGGAAGTCCAGTGTATGGGATGAGCAGATGGAGGAGAATGGTTTTCTTCATGTACACATCTTTCAATGCAGCAGTTGCATCCACTAGAGCGGTAGCTGAGGTCCATCTTCATCAGATATACTGTATAGTACCTTTTCAGGTAGAGCTATCCCCCTTGCTTAGATAAAGTATTCTTTATTTTAAGAGAAGGCACCTTAATTGCAGCACTCCTCACTTGTTCTGAAATGTCTGTCCCGAGAGGAGCTCTGCAAAAGAAAAAAAAAACAAAACATTTTTTGGAACAGTATACAAGTGAAACTCGAATAATTAGAATATTGTGCAAAAGTTCATTTATTTCACTAATGCAACTTAAAAGGTGAAACTAATATATGAGATAGACTCATTACATGCAAAGCAAGATAATTCAAGCCGTGATTTGTCATAATTGTGATGATTATGGCTTACAGCTCATGAAAACCCCAAATCCACAATCTCAGAAAATGAGAATATTGTGAAAAGGTGCAATATTCTAGGCTCAAAGTGTCCCACTCTAAATCAGCCAATTAAGCCATAACACCTGCAAAGGGTTCCTGAGCCTTTAAATGGTCTCTCAGTCTGGTTCAGTAGGAATCACAATCATGGGAAAGACTGCTGACCTGACAGTTGTGCAGAAAAACATCATTGACACCCTCCATAAGGAGGGAAAGCCTCAAAAAGGTAATTACAAAAGAAGTTGGATGTTCCCAAAGTGCTGTATCAAAGCACATTAATAGAAAGTTATGTGGAAGGGAAAAGTGTGGAAGAAAAAAGGTGCACAAGCAGCAGGGATGACCGCAGCCTGGAGAGGATTGTCAGGAAAAGGCCATTCAAAAGTGTTGGGGGCTTTCACAAGGAGTGGACTGAGGCTGGAGTCAGTGCATCAAGAGCCACCACACACAGACGGATCCTGGACATGGGCTTCAAATGTCGTATTCCTCTTGTCAAGCCACTCCTGAGCAACAAACAACGTCAGAAGCGTCTTACCTGGGCTAAAGAAAAACAGACCTGGTCTGTTGCTCAGTGGTCCAAAGTCCTCTTTTGTGAGGGGAGCAAATTTTGCATCTCATTGGGAAACCAAGGACCCAGAGTATGGAGGAAGAATGGAGAGGCACATACTGCAAGATGCTTGAAGTCCAGTGTGAAGTTTCCACAGTCTGTTGATTTGGGGAGCCATGTCATCTGCTGGTGTTGGTCCACCGTGCTTCATTAGTCCAGGGTCAACGCAGCAGTCTACCAGGAGATTTTGGAGCACTTCATGCTTCCTTCCGCAGACGAGCTCTATGGGGATGCTGACTTCATTTTCCAGCAGGACTTGGCACCTGCCCACACTGCCAAAAGCACCAAAACCTGGTTCAATGACCGTGGGATTACTGTGCTTACAGTAATCCCAGGGATACAGTGCCACAGGCTGATAGCTTCCATGCCACGCCGCATTGAGGCAGTAATTGCTGCAAAAGGGGCCCAAACCAAGTACATATGCATGCTTATACTTTTAAGAGGTCCGATATTGTTCTATGTACAATCCTTGTTTTATTGATTGCATGTAATATTCTAATTTTCTGAGATTGTGGATTTGGGGTTTTCATGAGCTGTAAGCCATAATCATCACAATTATGACAAATCACGGCTTGAATTATCTTGCTTTGCATGTAATGAGTCTCATATATTAGTTGCATTAGTGAAATAAATGAACTTTTGCACGATATTCTAATTATTCGAGTTTCACCTGTACATTCAGTGGAATTTATCAAAACTGCAGCAGACAAAATCTGGAGCAGCTGTGCACGGCAACCAATCAGCATCTTTCATTTTCAAATCTAAACTGAAGAGAGAAGCTGATTGGTTGCCATGGGCAACTGCTACAGATTTTGTCTGTCTCCAGTTTTGATAAATCCCCCTCATGATCTTTTCTGTTTTGAGTCAGTTAACCCAAAACAGACATCTTGGCTTTTGCTCAAGTTAAACCACTTGACCTCTATTGGTGAGATCTCTGCATTGGAGTTTCTGGGCCTTGTTAGCCGATAATGACCCCTATTATTTTACAGGGGACCATCGGGGGGACCCTTCTGATATAAGCTTATGGTCGCTAAAGTGACCATGAGCTTATAGCAGGAGGAAGAAAGCCACCAATGTATGGCATACTGACGTGACCAGCTGCAAGCGGTTGTGTTCCACTGTATGCCATACGTCAGTGGCAGCGAAAGGGTTAAAGGTAGAATTAACAGATCAAAAGAGAAGTTGATTGCTAGGATTTACATACTCTAAGTACAACTTCTTTGTAAGTACTATGGTAGAATACATATATTCTGTTTATACAATGCAAAACTGTTTGTAACGTTAAGTAGCAAGTATAATAACATTAGTTTGAAATAAGTTACCGTAAGTAAAGCCAAAATCTACAATGATTAGTCTGTAATGAAAAGATGATTTCATAAAGTTTATGCAAGTTAAAATCACTCAGATCTCATATACTGTAAGCTTAACCAAATGCCAATATTTATAAAGTTACTATATCTGCATAGCCATAGCCAGCTCCTTTTGCGCCTGAGGCAAGAAAAAAAACAACGTTTTTTTTATTTTTATTTTATTTTCATTATTTATTTTTATTTATTTTATTTTCGTTATTCTCTCTGGGGAGAGCAGCGGGGATCCAGAGAAGCGGCGGGAGGAGAGGACATGGTGATCGACTGGTAGATCGCGATCGACCTTGTGGGCACCCCTGTACTATATCATTTAAAACATTTAGATTCTTTTTTTGTAACCTGTCCCGATACCACTTTTTTAAGACCAAGTACAAGTACTGTCCCTCATGTACTTGCCGATACTTTTTCTTAAAGGGACATGCAACAATTTTTTTCTAAAATAAAGACTCATGATTTTAGGGCAGTTTCTCACCAGGGCTAAATACAGATGTCTTCAGAACTGAATACATGTCCCTAAGGCAGAATGGTATTCTGCTTTGGGGACATGTATTCTGCTTTGGGAACATGTGTTCTGCGAAAACATGTCCCCAAAGCAGAATTCCTCTCACCAGGCTGTGTGACGATCTCACCGGGCGACGTGTACATCTGCAGTGGCTCTGAGGGCACTCCACCTCACCGGCAATGTGGGGACCTGGCCACCCCCACGTCCAGACCGGCAATGCCAGTCCAGTCCAGCCGCACCGGCCCAGTCCTCCCATCAGTGTGCGGCAGGAACCCCCAGCCTCAAGCCCTGGGGAGGTAGTTCCGCCTCCGGGGCTGTCCATGGCTGTGCCTGCCCGGGAAGGAGGAGGAGATAAAGAACCGGACAGGCACTGCCATGGACAGCTATCTGCAGGTCCCCAGCAGGCTGCCGAGGTCCCCACAAGCACGGGAACTTTGACGGCCGCTGCTGAACATTTATAGGGTTGGTGTCGGCCTTAAGAATCAGGGCATTTTCACAAGTACTTGTGAAAATGCCTGGTATCAGCACGATACTAGTATCGGTATCGGGACATCCCTAGTCATAACATGTATTTGGATGTGGTGATATTGCACTGTTTGTGGCAGAAATTTCAAAATGTCCTCAGTACAGAGTCTTTGTGAATAATAAAAGGATTACTGCCCTTTACTAATAGAACAATCCTTTCCCTATGCCTGTACATGGAAACCTTTGCAGATTCGGGGGAAATACCCCTGATAATGCTAAATGTATGCTAATATTACCGTATAGACTTTGTGGTCTGTATGTCCTACCTGGGCTCATAACGAAATTCAAATGTGTCATTTAGAATCCCAGCACCAGCACGCAACCTCTCAATACCATTCCTAAGGAAGATAAGAACGACAGTGTGAGAGATAAGGGGAAAGATAAAGATTTGTCTACAGTTACACATCTTCAATTTGATCTACATCCATCAGTATGCAACGCAACACTTCTAAATAAACCACAAAACATTATAAAGCCAAGTGCTGAAAAAACAAAAACAAGCTCCTCAGCTATGTTTACAGCCAAAAAATTAAAAAAAGGCGCTCTGCCCATTGTTAAACAAGGAGTTAGTTTTTTGATAACATAATAAAAAAAATTCTATTGAACCCATACACACGCGTGCAAACATAAGATGCACATACTGTGTTTCCCCGAAAATAAGACACTGTCTTATATTTTTTTGGCAAAAAAAAACGCGCTAGGTCCTATTTTCGGGGTAGGTCTTATGTATAACAATCCAAAGTCAACGCAAATCCAAATTTAAATCATCCAAAATGGCAAAGTTAAGAATAGGGTGATCAGGGCAATCAGTGGTGTCATATCTTTCTAAAAGCAATTTGCTAACCAATCGCTGGCCAGAATGAGCAAAACGTACTTTCACTATCGATTCTTTACAGGCGGAGTGCATTTGATATCACTCCGCCAGTGACAGAAGCAAGCACTATAGAGGAGGCATTGGCTTATGCGGCTCTGCTCCCGCCGCTGCCGCCTCGCTTCCTCTAGCGCTGGCTTCATTGGCACTACTGATTCTCTCCTGCCTTTCCCGCGGCTCTTCAAGTTCCCCCTTATGCCACCCCCGGCCCTGGGAATGGTCACAACTAGGTCTTATTTTCGGGGTAGGTCTTATATTTTAGCAATTCCCATAAATAGTACTAGGTCTTATTTTCGGTGTAGGTCTTATTTTCGGGGAAACAGGGTATGTAGAGTTACACTTACGCTGAGCCCCCTTTCCCTTCTAGTCTTATACTTACCTGTCCCCACTTCATTGAGACAGCTGTGTGACCTGCTGTGCTCTGCATATAGCATCCCCTTCAAATTCATCACTGCTGAATCCAGATCCTAATATGCATGCTTGCCACAATCTCTATATTTTGTCCTATGGAGAGTTTTAGGGCTGCAACTAATAATTATTTTCATAATTGATTAGTTGGCTGATTTATTGATTAATTGGATTTTAAAAAAATGAAACAAATACTATCCTTATTTTAAAATAAAATACACACATGGAGTGTTAAACAAAATTTACTTCAGAATAAAACTGCATGCACAATTTTTTGCAATCGCGCTGCATTGGAACGCACGGCATTGCGGTACCATGTGTTCCAGTGCGGGCGATCACACAGTGGGTGGGAGGCACATTTGGGGTGCCATTGAAATGAATGGCACTGCAACGCACCTCCCGCATTGGAATTTGTCAGGTCGAAACCAAAAATTTTGTTTTTCCTACCTTTTATTATTTTTTACAAAAATAATTGTATTGTAAGCACATGGAGTTGAATAGCTTCAGCCAGGGAATGACAGTTGCCAGTGGCTAGATTCCATAGACTGCAGATAAATGTAAATACAGCAGGTAGTGGGCTGGTGCAATAGCCAGCCTGCTATTGGCCATTTCAAATTGCAATAGCAGGCTGGCGATTGCACCTGCCCACTGCTTGCTGTGACCTCCTCCCAGCATGGAGGAGAGTGCTAGGGGATCCAACCAACTAATCAATAATGAGAATAGTTGACAACTATTCTCATTGATTAATCGATTAGTTGGTTGCAGCCATAGAGAGTTTGTACTCCATTGAGACAAGCAAAGTACGACTTTGCGTGAGAGACGTTGGACCCAACAAGCAGGCCATAAGCAAAGTTCTCGGCGGAGCATCGACAGGTATAGGAGTTGGAGGATGGGGGCTAGGGAAAGCTGCCATCATCAGCCATCAAAGTAAGTGTGTAACTGTGCTAAACGTCTGCCAGTGAAAAGTTTAAAAAAAAAAATAGTACCACAAGAGTAAAAGTCATTTTTTGGTAAGATATATGACAAGTCCCTGTCAGGACCCTGTAGCTTTTAATTATGACTCTGGTTCTATAAATAATATCAAAACTCTTTTCTCACCAAGCAATCATGATGCCATTGTCTGTGCAGAGATGTGGAGGTGGGCAGAGCAACGACATATCCATACCATCTGTTAAATTTTGCAGCATATGGCGAATATATCCATTACTGGCAACCCCACCGGACACAACCTAGAAGAAGAAACCAATTTGTTTCTCAGGAACTTGACATGACCTCTTGGCAGCTTCAAAGAAAATCTAGCAAAGTATGTATAAAAGGACAACATACTGTAGGTCCAATATCTGGAGAATCTTAAATAGGAACAATAATACTATGAGGGACTTCTTCAGGAAAGGACAGCAATAACTGTAATACAGCTTTGAAACACTCTCTATGAAACACTGGTGTATGCAGGAGAGACCATGAAAGGATTTATTCAGAATATTGTTCAAGAGAAAGTTTGCCGCATGATTTGGATTTGGAGTTCTGTTTTTCCAAAGAATGTTACATTTTTCACAGCCTCAGTTGCTTTTAAAATTGAGCAAGGCTGCTAAAGCAGTTCTGATGTAACTTTTTAGTAGATCCAATTCAAAGGGTAAGTTCACAAATGTGAGAAAACGAACTTACAGACACCACTCCCAGCCCCCACTGTGCATACCTTTGCGGTGACCCCACCAGCCCTGCAATGAGCATTCAGCATAATGCTGATAAATAAGTGCTCATTGATCAGCAACATGGTCAAGATCATGGTGACCAATGAGAAGCGTTTCTAACTTCCGGGACCTGGTACCGGCTCAGAAGCGTTTCTCAGTCATATGACTGTGCTGACCAATGAGCACTCGCAATTTGTGAGCATTATGTCAAATGCTCACTGCGGGGCTGAAGTATGGTGTACGGATTGTGCACTGGCTGGCAGGGGGATTGGCAAGGGCAGCGCAAAGGTATGCACAGCGGTGGTTGGAAGAGGTGTTGGTAAGTTAACTTTCTCAAGTTTTGTGAGAAAGTAAACTTACCCTTTTTAAAAGGTAATTTCCTGAGACAAACCCCAAACTGCAGATATGTCATTCAGGTTCATAGAAAAAAAAAGTCCTTTACATAAATAACAATGTAAAATGAAATAGGCTTCTTAAATCAGATCTGACTGTCTTATTTCAAAAGATATAATCTAGGGGGTACGGCTCATTGCAGAGACCCTGGCTGATAACACGATGTAGTCACATGACATTAGAATATTTGAACTACAAAACACCACCCAGGCATGGCACACGAAAGTACAATGCTGCAAATCATATCAATATGTATGGGCAGAGGAAGAGGTAGTGATGTCAACCAGGGTGGCACTGCAAGTGACAGAATTGCTGCCATTTTATTATGTCCATTACAACCCATGAAAAGTTTTACCCAGCTTGGGACAGAGCTTTAGTGCTTGGTGTATTAAGAATGCAAAGTGAAAATATTAACTTCAAGGCTAACTGATTTGAATTAGGAATTGCTTTGACTTTTACTTTGATTGTGCTGCTTTAAGAATCATCAATATTCCTGCCTGTAATTAAGACATGGTGCAACACTCTCTATCCCCTGCATCCTTAAAACGTATGGTAGTGCACGGTTCTTAGGCTCTACTTTATTACTATTTGATTATATACATAACACAAACATATTGACAGCGTGTTGACAGCGTGTTCACATAATGTAACAGGCAATGCCTTCAAGAAATTATTAGGTAAAATAAGCTGGGATGTGAGGCATTTGTGTTTGTATAAAACACTAGCTATGACCCATAATTAAAGAACTCTGGGAAGAACTCCATTGAAAATGATTCTTAACCCTTGCAATGCTCATTTTCTTCTAGGGGGTAAAATAGAAAAGTTATACTCACTTTAACCTTGCAGCCGGCTGGGTGTTAAGACTGGTCCCTGGAGCCTCTCCCCCTCTGCGCCAGCATTCTAAGGTCCAATGAGTCATCACATCCAATACCGAGTGTATAGTATGTGAGGACACTGAGGGACATACAGTAACTGCAGGGGAGAAGACAGGCAGGAGGGAGCTCTTTAACAGTCTGCCAGCTCCGATGTTCAGGTGAGTATAAGTTTATTATAAGTTTACCCTAGATGAAAATGAACACTAGATTACCCCCGCACTGCAAAGGGTTACAAATATGTCCTGGAGTTCTTCTTTAAATAAAATTACATATACCTAGCACCCTTTTCTGTGCAACCGTAGGAATAAAGAGGCACATGTTGTTGAAAGGAGACAGCAGTGGTGGCAGGCGGGCAGAACAGTGAATGAGAGCAAGAATTTGTAATAAAAGCAAGGAAAAATGTTTATTTAAAGGGTGATTACGTGATACCAAAGCTAACTTGGGTGTGTATTTTCAGAGCATACTTGTTTGAGAATCAAAAGGACAGCCGGGAATTTTTAGGGTAGTGAATTATCTAAAATAGGTGCAGCACAGGAGAAATTGTGGGAAGCAAATATAAGGGAAGCTGAGAGTTGAAGATCAATAACAGAGCCAGGGTAGAGATAGGGTAGTAAAGGTAAGAGGCATAAGTATTAGTAATGGACACTGCCTCTTAGAGTCACGAGCCATGCAGTGACTGGGACTTTAGACAGTCCTTTTCTATAGAACAAAAGAGACACAAAAATATCTGAATACACCAAGTTCATTTGGTGTGCCCAAACGGCTGACATCATTAGGTGCATAGATAGCAGGAGGGCTCAGTTCACCATTGGAAGATAAGTGGAATGATGGTAGGGGCTTCTGGCAAGATGAGAACATAAAAGTCAAGAAATAATAAAAGGGCTATTCACAAAGGGGTGAAGAGTTTGGAGAAGGCAGGAGAAGTGAACAATCTAGGCCAAAATAGCTGATTTGGAAAAAATTCTCCAATTCAGCTCACTTTCCAGTTCAGCTATGTTGTCCTAGATTGTTTACTTCTCCTACCTTCTCCAAACTCTTCACCCTTTTGTGAATAACCCTGTAAATAAATGACTAGATTTCTTACCAAAGATGCATTAACTGGTAAAAGATTTTCCTGTTTGCAGAACAGAATAGCTCGTTGTGTCCGCTTGATGATATGATAGGCCACAGCATGCTGGAATGAAGCAGCAATGTCAGCTGCACATGAAAGAATAGCTCCCTGCTCCAGACCTGTTGGACAAAGATTGTTATCAAAGAAAAGAATGATTTATGTAAAGAGAATCAGTGGGGAATTATTATTATACAGGATTTATATAGCACCAGTTTGCGCAGCGCTTTACAAAACTGAGGTTGACAAAATAATTAACAATACAATTTCAGTACAGGAGGTAGGAGGGCCCTGCTCGTGAGAGCTTACAATCTAGTAGGAGGAGCAAGTGATATAAAAGGTAATAACTGTTTGGGATGATTTAATCGAAGAACTGAAAGGAGGGTTATACCGAGGTGGAATAGGCCTCCCTGAAGAGATATGAGTTTTCAAGGATCTCCTAAAGGTGGATAGAGTAGGAGATAAGCAGATAGATCGGGGTAGGGAGTTCCAGAGGATGGGAAACACTCTGGAAAAATCCTGGAGGTGAGCATGCGAGGAGGTGACAAGAGAGCTAGCGAGCAGGAGGTCTTGGGAGGAGTGAAGGGGGCGGTTTAAGTGATATTTTGAGATGAGGTGGGTGGTGTAGGTTGGGGCAGAGTTGTGGATGGCTTTGTAGGTTATTGTTAGTATTTTGAATTTTATACGTTGGGCAAGTGGGAGGCAATGGAGGGATTGGCAGAGGGGGGTGGCAGATGCAGATCAGATCTGCATTCATGATAGACTGAAGGAGGGATAGCCTGCTTAGTGGTAAGCCAACAATGAGGAAATTACAGTAGTCAAGGCGAGATACAAGAGAATGAATTAGAAGCTTTGCGATGTCATTTGTTAAAATGTTTTGGAAATGGTACAGAGGTTGAGTCGGTAAGATTTGGATAGTGATTGGATATGCGGCTGAAAGGAAAGCTCAGAATCAAGGATTACGCCGAGCACCCTGGCTTGATGGGACGGGCTGATTGTAGTGCTGCTGATTGTGATAGAGAAGTCTGGGGAGGGGACCCGGATAGGAGGAAATATTAAAAGCTTAGGTTTTTGACAGATTTGGTTTGAGGAAGTGATGTGACATCCATGTTAATATGTCAGTGAGTAGATTAGTGATGTGTGAGGAAATAGAAGGGGTGAGCTGAGGGTTGGAGAGATATATTTGGGTGTCATCAGCGTAGAGATGGTATTAGAAGCCATGTGAGGTTATCAACTGACCCAGGGAGGTGTAGATGGAAAACAAAAGGCGACCAAGGACAGAGCCTTGGGGGACCCCTACAGATAGATGGAGAGAAGGAAGTAGTTATACGTGACACTAAAGGTGCGCTGAGATTTAGGTAGGTGGTGAACCACGAGAGAACAAAGTCTTGGAGGCCAAGGGATTGCAGTTTATTGAGGAGGAGCGGGTGGTCAACTGTATCAAAAGCAGCAGAAAGGTCCAAGAGTATGGCCATTCCTGGGAATCTGAAAGGTTGTGACAATAATGCAGTCTCACCTCTTAAAATATATTTCCAGTGTTGTAGTCAAATTTGAGAAAGCCCCTCTATGTGTTTGTTATGTGTTCCCATTCACAAGTATACCAAAAAATAAGTTTAAAAAAAAAACATTTCTTACCTTTTAGGTATTTTGTTGCAGCAGGCAACATGGCAGATTCCAGGTTTTTCTGAGCACCTTCACATTGATCTGTCCTTATAGAAAAACTTAGAACTGAAATTTCAGGATTGTGTTTCTCTCAATAACTTCATTAACATTTGAATACAGAAGCCCGGGCTGTAATCCTAACCCCTCACTTCACAACCCCTGCTATTAGAAAGAAGGAGAAGCAAATAGAAATTCTAACCCTTAAGAAGCAAACAAAAAACCCTAACCCAAGTAAAAGCAATTTTAAATACAAGAAGATTAAAACATTTTTTAGCTTATGCTATGCGAATGGGAACATGTAACAAATAAATTAAATTAGGTGTTATCCCAGTTTGGCTGCAAAAGTGGAAATACACTTTAACTACCTCCCGGCCAGCCGCTGTGTATACACGGCCGGCCGGGAGCTTCTTGGATGTAACTGGGCGTGTATACACGTCCTGTTACATCCGCCCGCCCATGAGCGGCGCGCTGCGTTGCATGACGGAATAAATGTCAAAGTACTGCAGCGCTGACCACTGAAAAATGGCCTGGCCAGGAAGGGGGTCTAAACACCTGGTCTTCAAGCGGTTAAATATGTGTATGTGGTGTTTTTCACTTGAATTCTCCTGTCAGAGCAGAATGGTAGTGCCTGTAAGTCTTCCATGGAGGTTGATCCGTCCCCCGCCTGAGCTGATAAATGTCATGGTCCAGACACAATCTGTCTGGGCTAATGTAGGAAAGTAAAATGCCAAATAATGAAGCCTTTAGTATTCCGGACAAGCTCCTTTGTAAGGCCTCGTGCACACAGGGCTTTTATGTGTGTCTGGGGATTCCTGAGGCGAGAACCTGTGGATTCTTGTGGCAGGAATCACAGGTGGGTCTGTACACATCTGTCCGCAGCTGTCCTCATGTAATCCTATTTAAAAATATTACCTGCGGATCGGGATAGATGCTTGTCCCTTGCCTACAATCTGTCTGTGTCCAGGGACAAGCATATATCCCGATCCACAGGTAATCATCCCTTGCACACAGCTGCAAACAGAAGCAGCTGCTGTCAGCCTGTCATTCAGTTAAACGGGCACAGCGGTCGCATCTGTAGGGACCCTTCTGGGACTCCTGCCATAGGTTCTTGCAACAGGAATCCCCAGACCCGAAAAAGATTTGTATGCACACGTAAATAAACAGCAGAGCACCACCACCAGTGAATGTTTGGTGAAGGTCACCTTCACTGGTGTATAAATGTGTTCCCATGTGTCAAAGTCAGTATTGACACCCTTTGGTAAAAAGCGTAGTCCAAAAAATATTTCCTGCAACACTCAGTTTTGGTTTAGGAATTGTTTTCTCTAGTCTTGCTTAAAGATGAACACTTCTAATTCAGAAATATACTAATGTTGCCTTGAAAACATTGCACCTACCTACAGTTTTTTGTAGCCGATTCATCAAAAAAATAACTCTGCATTAAAGCGTATGTAAAGACAACAATGTAATTTTACGTCTGGAGATCTACTTTTCAAAATGACAAGCTCAATGAGATCTACCAATGAAAAAACACCTGCGTTCAGGGGCGGGAGGGGGCATGGCGGTGCATTGAAGTCAATGGCAAGGCAGCCACGTCCCCTGCCTGCAGAGCGATCGCACGCACTGGGGAAAAACAGGCACATAGTGCGATCTGCAAAAATGTGGCAAGCCGGCTTGCGTTTGTGCATTCTAGAGGCCGAACACTCTGGAACGCAGACTTTGTGGTGCGAACTGGCCCTCTCTCAGCCGTCTCTTCTCTCTCTCCTCGCTCTGTCCCCTGTTTCTATCTGCTATCTCTATCTGCCGACGTTGCACACAGGGAGAGGTGTCCCGCCCCTTCCAGTCTGCGGCATCCGACACATTCAGCAGCACTAGCACCGCAGGAGGGAGATCAGGTCAGTTAGCTGATCGCGATCTACCAGTGTTCGCTTTGCGATCTACTGGTAGATTGCGATCTACCAATAGATCGCAATCTACCTAATGGGCACCCCTGGGTTAGACTGTCTGCCAAGTTTTTTTTGCTGCCTGGATCTCACTGGTAAGATCCAATCCTCTATTTGCCCTGGTGATTCCTGTCACTATCCATTTGTCCATTTCCAGAAAGTAAGGGAAAATCCAATATTTTACAGCTGTCAGGAGAACAAGAGGTGAAGGGAAGTCTTCTATTGGGGACAGCTGTCTAGGATGGCTGTTAAAACCATAAAACCAGATATATTGAAATATGTATGTGTGAACCTTATATGATGATTGATTTTCTATATTTTAATCTATCCAAGTTTGGAGGTACAGTTTTTTACTGTGCTACTGATTTTGAGTTTACAATTGGTAATCAAATCAGTAAGCCTGACAGGCAGACCTAAGTATAGTTGAAACAGTTGTTGGGAATGCCCAAAGAAGACTTGGCCTTCAAAATGAGTTTGAAGAATAAACCACATTACTCAGGACATAGACTATGATGCCCAAAATGGGATAGAAGGAGAACACATGACTCAGCTACTAGAGTATGGCACTCCCTTATGCTAATCAGAAATACTTTTAAGGTAAACGTCACATAGGTTATTTTAAAGTAAAAGCATGGATAAAAGGATGAGGGATGATCCTTCAAGGGTCTCACATTCACACACTCACACTCACACATTCACACTACAGACACACACGCACAGCATCACACAGACACACCCACACTCACATTGAATAGACAGACACCTGTTAGGACTATTTTTACTTCCTAACTAAAAGACATGTTTCTTAAGCATCTTATAGATTTCTGCTGTAAGATATACTGTATTTTGTAATCATCAAGCATCTTATAGACTAATTCTGTAAGATATACCATATCCTGTAATATTTTGTAACTTTAAATTAAACACATTCTGAACTTTATGCAACAACGGAAACAATCATCATCTATTATTGAACTTTTCCACCCTATGCTTGGAGAAAAGGCATATGACATAAAAAAAATCATATTTCGTGTTGTCATGGTCCTTGGAATACTGAACCATGTCTCCTTGACTATATTACACAGTGGTGGGTCCTCCACCCTGTCTTAGGGTTGAATCACTCTGTATTTGTTTCACAGTTCACAGTTTGTCTTAAGGATAATCCCCTCCAACGGCTCCGTGGTCTGGAAGGAAGGCATTGTTCTGTGTTTATGGAATTATCTCCTGGGACTTCTCTGTGTCATTACCCATATCAGCCCTCCCCTTCAAGTTATCGGACCAATCCCTGCTGACCCTGTTTCAAGTCCTCCTTTGCATGGCCACACATATCAGCCCTCCCCTTCAAGTTATCGGACCAATCCCTGCTGACTCTGTTTCAAGCCTTCATTTGCATGTCCAATAGGAAGGTGTTGGTTTGGGCGGGTTGTTCAAACTGTTGTGTATAAAATAAAATGTGTGTGTGCATTAAATAAAGCAGATCCCTGTTGGAACTTACATACAGCCCGCCTGGTGTTTGTTCT